TTCTCTCTCTCTCTCTCTCTCTCTCTCTTTTCTCTATTTTTCCATCTATTGCAACAACTCGAGCAACGAACAAACTCGGTATTAAAACAGTATTTTTTTAGGGAGGAAATAATGAAAGACGATCTCTTTTGAAGAGATTCCGGTTCATAAATTTTTATTTTTGGAAATGGAGTAAAATGGTTAAAGGGTTATTTTTCATTGCAAAAAATCTTGAGAAACTCCTATATTTCGCGTATATTTCAATTGATCCACAAGTCACGAAGAATTCTATCTGTCGAACGTATTTTATGCGAGCAAACCAATTCAGTCTCCCTCATTTACAGCGGCTATTTTCGCCGCTTTCAAGAGCCTTATAAAGATATAACTGCGCCCCATTAACTCATTCTATCCTCATTACGCATGTCTCTTTATCTATACGCACAAATATTCCACTTAAAAAGGTGTTATCCTTCCTGATTAATAAGAGTACAATTTTTACAAATATTCAGGATACAATCGAGGATGTTACTTCGATATTTAACGGATAGAGAGAGAGAGAGAGAGATGGTGGAACGAGCGAGATCAACGGGGGGCGGGGAATCAAGCGAAAGAAGCAAAAATTACCGACAAGTAAGTAATTTCCACGTTAATCACGTTGAACGAAGAACGTTTCGCAAATCTCATCTCATTCGCGAACACCCACAGCTAGAACAGTTGGATGGGCACCACCGTGGTATTATCATATTCACTTACAAGCCTCCTACACGGAGGCCGACTTCTTCCTCGTTGCACTCGAAATTACGGAACCGTGATTCGGAGAGTGCTTATCATCTCGTTAACATACAAAGCGATCCAACAAGCTGGAAAAAGGATTTTTTTTCCAACCGCGATAATCGTAAAGGTAAACTCGTTGAAATTTCCTTGAGCAAGATTAGCCGCATCAAACAAATACGAAATGTCCATCGAGGCAAAATTATCTCGATAAATATTGGAGATCCTTCGAGGTGATGTGTTAAGAGGGAAGAAAAATAAAGGAGAGATCGTAAAGATACATGGTGGAAATTTTATACCGGTTTGCCAAAAAGTTTCGTTTTCGTTAATAAAGATTAAATTTTACATTTAAAATCAGTTAAATTGTGAAAAATTCTACGTTCGTCTAATTCTTGATGATAAATGTAAAGTACGTAACAAGAATATTATCTGATCGTTATTGGATGAAAATTAGAGGATTCGTGTTGAAAAAAAAATGTGGATGATGGACATTCGAATAAAGACAGATTCGATTCCCATACCGTGAAATTGAATCGATTTTTATGCTCGACGCTGGACAAACTTTCACGTTGGCCTCGAGTGAATGAACGAGCGTGAAAAGGAACTCGCGTTTGCTGCGCGAGTTTTCGAGTTAATGACCGAATCTACACCAACCGAACGTGTCTCTCGTGAAATCTTTTTCTTTTTTTTTAAAAAGCGTGCATTCGTTTGTTCTTTCGCCTCGATGGATCCCTTCGTTCCATCGGGTGGCGTTGGATTTTACGACGACGACGACGACGACGACGACGACGACGACGACAATGATGCGAGCAAGAACGATGAGAAATAGAGAAATCTCTTGCCGAGACAAAGAAGTCTTTGGATAGAATTTATGAGAGATGCGGTATAGATGGCATTGTTCGATGGTTGGAATTTATGGTCGGTGGAGAAGTGGTTGTAAAATATTGAACCGAGAGTGAATATAGAAACGCAACGTAGAAAAAAAAAAAAAAGGAAAAAGAAAAAAATACCAAGAGTTTGTAACTGTTTTCGGTGTATATTATAAATTATTTGATAATTTATAATTGATAAATTAATTTCGAAGTTATGTTCTATAATAAAGTAAATTATTATAGTTGAGCTGATACGTCATTAAATTTCTATATTAAAGGAAAGAAGTTAATAGACTCTACACACTCTGCAATCACCATCAACGCGCGGTTCAAATATCTCTCCTCTCTCAACCCATAAATCCCTGTCAATGATTAAATTACCGGGAATGCATGTAAACGTGCAACATTCCATTAAGCTCGTAGAAAAGTCGAACAGGACAACGTGTAACTAAAACGATCGCGTGCACCGGTGAATACGCAAATTCCTCTCTATTCCACACGGCGGAAAGGCCGAAGATCACAGAGCATAAGGATCTTGGAAAACAGGAGAAAACTGTTCCGATATCGCTAATGACCGGTATTTACGTACGAAACGTGGACGGAGCGTGTATACTCTTACACAAATTTTCGTACTCACACTCTCGAACGAGTTATTCTTTAAAAATTCTCTTCATTTTCCATCTTATATGATAATGATAAATTATCGATTGTCGATAAATCATTTCGAACGAATGGGTGAAATTCAGATTTATCGAGCCTCACCTTCTCTACCAACGGGTGTGAAAAAGAATTACGGGCTCCACCCTTTCGCGGGTAATTGGCCCACGATTAAATAGATCTCTAAACGAGTCTAAACGACTCGATTTGGCTCGAACGAAAGTCGAGCCAATGATTAATAATCTCGAGCAATCTCGAATTCGTTAAATCGAACTCGTATTTGTGTTGCTCGCTCCATTTTCATCTTTCGTGCTATCCACGAAAGCATGAAATGGAAAATAAAGTTACGATAGAATTAATTCAGAAATGGAAAGAAACGACTCACCTTGCTGCTCACGCGAGATACAAGAGTCTCGATGTGACACTGCCATTCCAATGCTCGAAGAAACAGCAAATGCCACCTTCGCTCCAAAGACTTCACGGTCCTCAAAACCTGCGACGGTTCCCGTTGCTCCTCTTCCCCCTGCCCCTCTTGCTGCTGTTCCCCTTGCTGTTGATTGTACACCTTGTCTCCTAATTTCACGACCGAGCTCACGATCCGACCGTGCGCCTCTATGTCTCGTTGGAGTACCTGCCCGAACGTCAACAAATTCGATTATTGCACGAAACGTTGCACGATAAAATATACCAAAGCAATGGATATTATAATATTCGTTGACAAAAATATTACATTGCAAATATAAATATCACAGGTTTTGAATAATTGTAGCTACCACGGATGAAACGCATAAATCGGACAACGATAAGTATCGAAATTGGAAAGCGCGTTCCATATATATATGTATATACACACGGCCATGGTTATCAAGTGTACGAATATTCGAAAGTAGCCGGAAGCCCACTCCGGAGGACCCCGATTTATGGAGTTTAAATTGCGTTTCGGCCGGGGATACCGTTATCGAGGATCATCTTCCGAAAGTTTCATCTTCTTCTCGCGGCAGATTAAGTCATGCGTTATGCATAATAATAATAACAATAATAATAATAATAATAATAATAATAATACAATTAACGACCGCGATCAACTCGCAGCCGATAATAAATCACCGATAAAAGAAAAAAAACTACGCGAATTTGTATATGAATTATACCGACCTACAATCGCGTGATCGATATATATACATCATCGGATTATAGCTTCTGTTTCGAGGTCGAAGGAAACTCGTGGAGCTCGTTGTCGGAAGCTCGTTGTGGAAGCACGGGCGTGGAAAATCGAGACGTCAAACCACCTGACCCGGAGAAGGTAGCCACCGCAGAGTCGTGACATCCGCTACGGGAGACCGCACCGTGAAGCGTCGTGACACCTCGCCTCGTCTCGTCTCGTCTCCGACCCTTCGATCACGAAATCTATCGAGAAGCTCTTGGAAAAAGCGTCGGTTGACCAATCTCCACGACGATCGGATAGAGAGACGAGACTGGATGGCGAATTTAGTCGAGAGTTCCAGTTCTATCGATCATCTCTCGGTTTTTGAGAGTTTCCTTTTTGTCGGTCGATTCGAGGGAGAAACAACAAGGAACAAATTGATTTAATACGGCGTTGACTGACGAGGATATCCTCCTCCCCACGTTACTTTCTCGGCCTTGGGTCTCGAGATTCAAGAGATTCAACTGTGTTATCTCGTCTGTCAATTATCCCGCGTAATAAGTATACAAATATAGCGGTTCCCAGATACCCAACTCGAGCGAGATACCAAGTCTCGGCCCACTGCAGACAGCCACACTTTCTCGCTTTTCAGTCCTGTCTTCGACGGATTTCCTCCTTTCTAAGAATCGAGCCAGGTGAAATTGATCAATCGGACGACGAGCGAACGAGAGAAAAACGAAAGAATTCTCTTCCTTCATCTCCGTCGAATAAGCGAAGAAGAAGAAGAAGAAGAAGAGAAACGAAAAACGACGAGGTTTACACGCATCGAGGGAACTGGGATCCACGATTTTCCTGCCCACGGCTGGATCGAAATCAGCGATAAAGAGGCGCTCACTTTCCTCCACGCCTCCAACTGCTTCTAATCATCGTTCGCGCCATAATCAACCTTGCTCTTTCTCTTCCAATCGATCTCTTCGTATTCCATGCAAATTTTAACGTAACGTTTAACAACCCTTTCCTTATATACATGTATTTACATTAATAATAATTGCATTCCAGGGACTCTTGTTGAGACTTGATTGATAGCTGAAACGTATCGCGAAAATCAAGCTTCTCCAGGATGATTTTTATCTCTTTCTTTTTTTTTTTTTTTTTTTTCTACCGGTAACAGAAAGAGGAGGAGGAGGAGGATTAGGATGGTTGTTTTATCCCGTCGAATCTGTCTCTCTTTCTCCTTTCCACGATCGGGGAAATAAATCACCAGGTTGAGGGCAATACCTATTGCGGACACTCTGCACGCTTGGGTGCAAAGGTTAAGCACACGCGTACAAAAGAAACCAGTTAAAAGCCTTTATTGCTTCCGCGAAGCAAGTCAAGCATTTCGACGCCGTGCTCATTACGCCATTACGAGTCGGTCGAGAGAGCGCCTCTTGTGAAAATCTCACTCGCTCCTTCTTCTCTTCTACCGTGTAACGAGACGCGGTGTGTATATAATATATAAGTGTATTCGATTATAGCTAACGTAAGAGAGAAGCTGGACGGAATGACGGGATAACGTGCAATTTCGTTGACACGTTTACGGGGGGGGGGATCGAATGAAAGTGGCTTGGATGAAAATGATAAAATGACCAAGACGTTACAGGGTGTCGAGGGTAAAAGTGAACGATGACGATTCGATAAGGGAACGATCTTTTCTTCTGTTCTAACTTGGCTCGAGTGAGCCCAAGTTGAAATCTTGGAAATGATTTCGGACGAGTTACGACGATTATTGCTACATCGATGAGGCAAGTTTCGATCGATCTGAATTTTCGAAGCTGAAATTCGACATACTCGTGGGTATGTAGAAAAAAAAGTAAAATTATAGAAAGTGGAAGAACGTGGAAATTAATTTTTCGGAAACTGTGCGACAAAATTGGTTCAGATGATATTTAAACGACACCGGTGTCACTTTCACATTCTTTCGTTAATCGAGTGGATTTACAAAACGCATTTGCGCCGCTTGTTTATTGAACAACTTAATCTCTTTCGATGAAATTATAGGGTTATAAAGTATCGTTATGAAAAATCTTCTCGGTGCATTAAATAAGTTCCCTCGCGATAAATCATCGAACTTAACGATTGATCGGAACTTTGGTACGTTCGATTCACCTCGAGCTAATTAAAAAAAAAAAAAAAAAAAGGGAAAAAAGGCATTACTTTAACAAAGCTATCCACTTTCTCATCTAACACGAATACTCGTCGAGAGTTTACGCAACATTCTCGCAAGAAACATCCTTCTTCGTTTATCCTGACGCATCACGCAACGCAAGAAAAATATTCGAAACTTTTATCCTCTCCAAACGTTTCTTCTTCCTATACAAAATCCGTATATTTAATTGACAGAACTTTTCGGAGCACGAAGAGATTTATGTTATCGGATTACAAATTGGATTAATTCCCATTACTCCTGGTGTATGAATAACGATTTATATATATACGGATACAATAGAATCTCAATTATCTTAATCTGTCGAGCAAACGGTTCACATGAATAAGAGAACTTTCAATTATCTATTCGATTTCTCATTCGAGTTTACGTAAGTGGATTGAATCGACGGGAGTGTTTCGGTTAATCGAGTGACCAACTGAAATTTCGTTCCAATGAATGGAGCTTTGCTCGTATCGGGACAAAAATCGAATGAATTCCCATTATATAAATTTCAATCGAACATCACGGATTCGAATATTTCCTATCTTCATCCAATTCAAACTCACTGAATTGCTCGCTTGAAAATGCTTTAATCAAGTTTGCACACTCCCGTATCTATCTAGAATCCATCAAACGTCACATTCGCGAACGTATCATCATTACGCACCCTTACGCTGTGAAATCGTTTCAAAATTTCTTCCAATAGAAATTCTTCCTCTGTTCATTATATTGAAAATATTCGAGGCCTCTGCTTCACACGCTCGGCTAGAAAAATCGTTTCCTCGAAGGGTTCTATTAAGTAAACGATATTCCCCTATTTCCTAAGCCGGGTGGCTGAAATCGCCACGGAACAAAGACGTCTCTATCCTCATCTCGCATTAGCCCACTTTCTCCCATAGATTGCGTACGATTACGCGCGATTGTTCCACTTTATCCAGCGCCGTCGTCGCCGCCTCGCTTTCGACCGCCGTTTTTCCCCGACCACCGCGTCCTCCTCGAAGAACAATGGCCGGCGGAAGGGGCACGGCCTTATACATCTGATATCGAAGATCAACGCCCGGATAAAGCACGGATAATTGCCGGAGGGAAGGAAATTTCGATTCGGGGGACACACCTGCCCCAAGACGGAGGAAAATCGCGTGAAAGCGAAGGAAGAAGAAAGATGAACGGCTAATTTTGCCTCCTCGATAGCGGGAAGATTCGATTTTCTAAATCGATCCCGAGTCGGTTCGATTTCTAACAACGGGAAAGTATGAGTTGAAGGGTCATAAGCTCGGGGGAAAACTCGTGTTTCTCGAAGGATTTTCGATGGAACGAAAACTGTTGCCGAGAGGATTTTGTGTGTGCGTGTATCGTACGTTGCCGAGACGATCGATAGTTTCGCGTGAAATTCGTGGCCTGGATTTATTAAGAAAATGTTCGAATTGTCTTGGAACAACTCTTGTTAACATTATCTTTAACTTTCACGATTTTCTAATCGATTCTTCGTTATTATTATTATTATGATATTGGAAGTAAATAATATATTTAGTGGCAATATATTTAGATCAATGTTATCGAGGCAAGCGATTATCAGCGGATAAAAATATCCGATAAATTTCTTCTAAAGTGATAAGAAAGTTTCGTGGGTGACCGATTCCAACGATTCTTTTTCTTTTTTTTTTTTTTCAAGCGTGGAAACCGAAGGAAAATTTATTTGCTGTGAAAATTAATTTATGATATCTCACGATAAAAGAACGTACACAATTTTTCTTAAACACGCGTACATATTTTTTTCGCTAGGAAAAGATTCTCGAATTATCCAACAGTTTCGTCCGTGATGATTGAATATATATAAACATTCAGAAATATAAAACACGCTCGAAAAGAATATGGGGATGGAAATGAATTCAGATTACGCGACCGGTGCACGTTCGAAATTGTGCACGCAGTGTTACAACACGTCACGTTGTACACATTGTGCACACTTCTCCTCTCTTTACATTCCAATGAAGTTTACTTTTCCCTATACACACAACTCTCTCGTAGCATTCACAGACATTCCTCGCTAACCTTCGACTCGACTAATCAAATATTATTCATAAGACATTTTCTTCTTTAAACATTACGTACCGAGAAATATTCGTGAAATGTATATCTACAATGTACAAGTTCAAGGCGTGTACGTTCCGTATTGGCATTCGAGCGATATAAAATATTCATAAAACAAGATCTGCGACTATTTTCTTCATAAAAAGGGAAAAAAAAAAAAAAAAAAAGAAAACTGAAGCAAAACGATCCGACGGAAGCTCAATATCAT